TTTCCCCACGCGAAGGCTGAGCTAGTTAGCGTGGGTTGCATGGCTGAATATTGCGGTCCTCATCCGCACCCTCTCGTTCGCGCTGTTCGACTCTTCCAAGGATGTCATCGCCCGCAATTTCGCGTATCTGTGCGCTTTTATCAGCGTCTGTGTGCTGGTGAGTGCCCCATGTACTGTATGCACATTTTCACAAGTCTCTGGATCTGGCAGGTCTACGGTTACATGCTATATCAGCATCGCATCACAAAATCGCATCACAAAAATACGGAAACAAGATCCAGAGCATTTCGGTGCGTGTCTCGCGTGCATAACATGATTTATTGGCCTGATTTCGTGTCAACCTAGCTCCCATTTTTTGTTTGCGTGAAGCTCAGCTGGCTTGGAGGGCCAAAAACAAGCTCTGAAAATCCTATGATACTCGGGCCTGTCGTTATCAGCGCCTGACTTTTCCTCGCCATCCTGGCGAATTTCATGATTCGAGGAATTACCAGACTCGGCGAAGGCTGACATGCATGGACACTGTAGTGGAAATAATTAGAAAGTGGACTTCAGTCGGTTCAGCAACAATTCGAGGCCCGATTCTCAACGGCTATGGCACACTCCAGTACAGAAACTGCAAACGACAATTCGGCGGCATTTTTATGCATGTTTTTTTGGATCTGAAATTTTGACACTCGACATGACCCTGTCCGATGAGGCACTCACATTGCTCGTTCTGTTTAATCGTCTACTGTCATCGTTGATTTGGAGCCTTCACCACTTCCCCGTATATATGTCACTTCGTCTTTACCAACTGCACTGTCTGACAATCCTCGCTCTCTGTGGTCTTTCACCTAGCTGCCGTCCTCCTCGATCCATTCTCAAGAGAAGAACTTTTCCGGTGTGATATCTTGATTCAGACTATGTTGGGCCTTGTCCAAATCTTTTGGCAACTTCACTAGTATTGTCGGAAGGCGCACGAGGGAACAGTTCGAGGCCATGGTGGACATTATCGCACAGTGTGAGTCCATGCTGTCGCTCGGACGTCTATCGTATTCTGACTTTTCTTCTTCCTTGTGGCATTGCGGTGAAAACTTGAACCCCCGAAGGATCACTTCAGACTGGTGACAAAGCACTGAAGAAGCTGAGTACGGCACAGGAAGGCCTACGGCGCCCAAGAGCCAGCGAACGGGAAAACTCAGTCTACTGAGCTGCTGTTCTACCAACTGTTTTCTGAGAAGGCGACCTTGGTAGCGACTCGGAATTATTGACGACGTCAACAAGTGACTGTGATTTGGAGCGACTATGCTTTGGGCGGACCGAAGGCTGGCGCGGTGCGTTTAAATTCACCCCTTGCCGCAGTGGCAAGGAGCCGTCAGATGGCAAAAGAGTGGAGGCCACTGCAGGCAGCGGTGGGATCGGCGCAACAGCTACGAAACAAATATGGTTTGTTTCCGCAAAGGTTCCCGCAAAAGCTTTTTTTTTGTCGTCCCGTTATTCCGATCTGCTTCTTCGCCAACTGCTTTGTTTTTCGACGGAACCACGCACCTAGCCGGCGACTCGAGGCCACAGTCGAAACTGATCATGGTGACCACTGGTTGAGGCTCGAGAGTTTTCAAACAAAGCCACCATTGTACCTGAACAATCAATTATGAATCGGAGTTGCCAAACCCTGTTTGTGGAAACTGACAAGGCAAATTACTCATCCAGTAGATACACAAAGGGCATTTCTTGCAATCGACGCATATAAATTGAGACCCTCACAGGTAGTGACCTTCAACTTTAACCAACAAACTACCTGGCACCTGCCGACATCTGAACCGATCGAGTACCCTCCACATCCTTTCATTATGGGTTCTGTGGAAATCAACGGGCCTTTCGCTGATGCATCATCGGTTACTCATTCAATCAGCAATGCTAATTCCAAGCCTGACAGCCAACTGGATTGTGAAGATGTTGGGGAATTTGTCTTGATTTCAACTGATCAATCAGTGGCACCTGTACCTCACCGAGTGAGTTGATTTACATGTCATGCTTTCACTTCGCATACTTGATGGGCTACTATTAAGCAGTGTCTTTCCACAATTTCAGGGGCAGATATGCAACAAGATCGCATTGAACTTGCCCACTATCTTATATCCAGACTTGAAAAACGATTGGTAGACCTGGGAGCAGAGAATAGAAAACTTGAGTGTGCCATGGAAGGCCTGGTAGAGAGGAATTTACGTCTTCAGTGTCAAGTGGAACACTTGAGGAAACTTATCAAGAGATCTTAACCTGTGTACATAAGGACATCCATACGACTACTAGTACTGGATCTTAGCTACATGTTTGTCCTTTGGATTAGACTGGTTCCACTGGATTAAATTGGCAATTTAAATGGGACTGCGCGCCACTAGAAATTGACTCACTCTCTCACTCTCTCTCCATCCCTAGAGCAAGAAAAGAAAATTTCCTCTGCATAGAAATATAGTGTTTGTCACCTTGTTGTCACCACGATATATTGCCATATCATACAACTTGAATTAGACCAGGCGTGCGTGTGCGGTCCGGACATGACAAACGGAACAGACGGACCAATCCCGGTGAAACAATGCATATGGTGCCAGACGTTACTATTCGTCTTTCTTCCTTGTTTCTTCCCTCCCTTCTCATCCCCCCTCCTTTGTCCCCGGGCCCTATTCCCTTTGTCGATTCTCTTTCGACACCCCGATTCGCCATGGAGAATGACTTCTTTTGATCTTTGTATTCTCACATGGGCTAAGCAGCACATATTTAAAAGAGCATAGCTTGACGTTCTTCCTATCCTTCATTGCCCGAGTCTGACGTGGAACACTAAGTCACCAAAATCAACATTAACTGCCTGCTCCGTCCTCAATGGCTCCCATCCGCAGGTCAAATCTCACAATTCAACCGCGTGTTCCACAGCCCCTTCCTTATTTTGGACTGGAAATACGTGAGCTTGCTCCGCCTCTATGCTGCATCGGTGCTGAATCGTGAAAGAAGAACTATATGTTGTGCTTCTGGAGCTGCATAAGCAGCAGCTCGATTCCAAACCTGCGGAAATCCAGCTGGTAACCCTGTTCTCACAGAGTGGGTGTGCAGCCTAAACTTAGAACTCGAACTTACTTACACTGTCCCAGTTCGGCGCAATGCCCGGGTTGCTGGGCTCAAGCTTGGTCCACGAATGAAACCATGCGTTCTGAAACACTTGATTGTTGCTGTAAGAAGCTAACTTGATGAATCAACCCAAATTACGACGCGCCCCTTCCAGGAGAAAAACCAACTTTTGAACTTCAAGGCATCAAACTGCAAGGTCTTCAGCTTTACCCATTATGGTCATCACATGTTAGCAAACCGCCCGGTGTCTGGGCTCATCCGCTTTCATTCTGATTTCACTCTCAGGTTTCAAAAGCATCTTACGTGCATAGATGCTGTCAGCCTCCAAAGGGAAAAGTTGCGCGTTACCATGTCCATCCTCAAGACAAAATTATCGGCCTTGAATCTGCGGCCAGCCCTCACTCCAATCCAGATTCAATTTCTGAGGATAGCTATTTCCAAATATCTCGTATGCAATCCTTTCCAATGGGAAAATCCAATCATTTTCTCATCTTTTTTCGCAGGAAAAAGAAGAATACAACCATCTCATAAATCTGGAATCCCTGATCAACGCCGAAAGTGGGAGCACCTTCGCCATACACCTCAATAACGAAAGACTGCGGGAAATTCCCCGCGAGTATGGTCACATTGATGCCGAAATAAAGCGTCGTGAAGCTGAGGTACGCCTTGATTCTCATGCCAATCTACAGTGACGAGATTGTTGCCACAGATCCTCCTATCCTATCCTATCCTCACTACTACCGCTCACCAAACTCATGACTTTGATGCCGAGTTGGTCGCGCTAAGGACAGCGCAAAGAGACCTGAAACGCGAATACAATCTCGTCTGGCTGCATGTTGAACGCTTGAAGAACACCAATACTTTGCGCCGCGATGGACAACACCGTGCACGGATAGACGCTGACATCATACGACAGGCGGCGGTCCAGATGGAAGATTATCCTGATCAACTATAGCCTGAAGCTAAGCCACAAGGAAAAACAATGTTTTTCTGACAAGTTGTATGTGAATTCTGTTATGATTGATGACAACCCAACTTGACACGACTGCAGCCTATCCGTATAATATGTATTTTCACCCAAATTGACACGACTGCAGCCTATACACTGCCTATACACTGCATATAGTATAACATTACGTAGTGGAAAGTTTAAATATCAACTTTTCGATTCCTTGTAAATTGTGTCTGAAATCTGTGGATTCGGAACAGACACCTCTTGCTCCTCGACATCAGCGTTGCCGTTGTCGCTGGATTCCGGAGTTAAGGGACAGAGCAGCCAAAAAAAAAAAAGCCACCCAGTGGTAGTCTCAGTAGTTGCGCAGGGTTTTGCGTTAAAAAGAACAAGAATGATGGTGCAGGGAGTTACATGTTCGGAACCAACGCCGGAATTAAATAAATAAATGATTCTGTCCTAGCCTCATGTAACCAGAGTCACAGATAAAACATAGTTAATAAATTATTTGTTATAGTAGGCAGTTCCAGGTCCGCAAGCGAGGGAAATCACGGGCAGGTTTTAGCAAGACCTGCTACCGCCACCGCCACCCCTTTGCACGTGGAAGTCCTTGTTCATGGTCGCGATTTAACTTTGATCTGCCAAGTAATTACTAATAAGAGGCATATGCCCCTTATTATTCCTAAAAAAAGCTGCGTACTCAGCATACGCACTCGTCAGGCAGTCAAGATATGTTTGTTGTGGGTGCCTTGACACCGCCCAGCGTATCCAGCAGCAGTGAATTACTTCGTCCTAATCGGGGTGTGCACTGTGTAGATATACACACGTGAGCATGATTGCTGTGGGAGGCACAGCTTTGCGCACATGTTTTAGGTTCACCCAAGGTTCACCGAGCAAACCGTTAGAGAGCGGCTAGTACTTGACATTAAATTGACAATTTTGCTGGGCCACGAGTATGGTGTAAATGGTTAACATGTCCACAACTTCTCTTGTAGAAACGCGGAAGCTCGGGGTTCAATTCCCTGTGCTCGAATTCTTTTTTATCATTTTCACTCTCTTTGCTTTTCACTTTTTTTCTTTTCTAGAACCTATACTATTGATCCCAACGGGTCGCAATTTGCACTCACATCTGCTTCCCTCCCACTATGAAGTGGGAGGGAAGCAGATGTGAGGGTAAAGCTGTCTCAACCCACATTAAATGATTATTTCAATAAATACCCTAGATCTATGGAACAAAATAGATTAATGGGTGACTTCCCGTAAGATAAAAATACTCTGACACATTTTCTTATCACTTTGGAAGGTGCCAGAGATGTGGTTGATAGGCAAGATATTCAATGATATTCACATCATTTGAAGTTCCTGTAGGCAGGGAATCACATGGCCTATTTGGATGCCTCAGCGACCTGGTGCTTTCCAGGGGGAAGATGACTTAATCACTGCGTTCCGTCCCCCCGGATGCAACGGTCCGTGTCCGTTGTGGCCGTGTGCCGATGTGCCGATGCGGACCGTGGGGCCATCACATCAACACAGGGACACACAGCTTTGTCTCTCTGTGCCGTCATATGTGCTCCGTGAGGTGGACGCAGCCTCCCTGCGCCTCCCTTGGGAGACATATGGCGGCACACCCCACTCATACTTTCTCTATCCTCTCCTACTCTCCGGCTCCCTGTATTCCGAGACGATTAACCTAGAGGCTTGGGCTGAAGCCTGATGGAATGTTTATTTCAAGTTGCGTTTCAAAAAAAGTTTACTCTTGATTCATGAGATGCATGAGGCTTCTATACGCCGTCGACCCTGCACTGGTCTGTATAATGCTGGCGTGCTCACTTTTCCTTTTCCATCACCCACCATCGTCCAAATCGCCACTGTAAACGGACGCGAACCATGCATCGGCGCGGCGGACTCCAGCACCCGGGCCCGCCCAGCTCAGATCCAAGTCGCTACATGGAGGTTCCTGCGGGAGATCCGTGCGTGCCACACTGTGCTCGCTCTGCACTTCAGACCTAATTCTTTTGAAGTACAGTTTCCAACAGCAAAATCCACCTGGCGTGCTTCGAGGCCAATCTGCTCACATTGGCTTTGGACCTCCTCCGTATGCAGCCATAAATTGTGTGGAAAATTCTGCCGCCACTCATCTCTCCCACACAGCGCTGCTCGCTCTGCCGCGCTCGCAACTCCTCGAGCCAATCGCGACGCCGTAGGAGGTTCTATGTCGCTCAACCTCGCGCACTCGTACGAAGACCTCGCCCTCTCAAATACACCAACCCAGACGAATCGGTACCCCGGTCCGAATAGAGCTGTGCACCATCTGGTACCTGCAGACAACCCATCGACCAACAGCCAGCTAGAGAGGCTTGTCGGAATGGTGCAAACACTTTTGCAGGACAATCAAGAGCTCAAACAGACGACTCGTGAACTCAAGGAAGACAATCAAGAACTCAAGGAGCGCGTGGCGTCTCTCGAATCTGGTGCCCCCGGTGCAGCACGCCCATCCTCTCGAGGCTTTATCGCTCGACGCGGCAAGGCCACTCGTCCCAACGCGAGGGGGCGTAATCCTGGCCGTATCGGTGTCGACGATTCCACTGACTCTGGTGAGGAGATTGATCCATTGTTGCTCAATGCAGCTGGCGCCAGCGAGTCTTCTATGGACACGGACACGGCTTGACAGATTACGAGCCGGCGAACGATACAGGAGGAACAGACAATATAGATCTTTCGCCAAAGGAAAGATCGAGCGTACAAGTAGGATCTCCCTTTCAACTTGACTCTAAATCTTCTCTCTAATTCCGACGACAGGCGTTTGTGACGAAGGAGTTCCGCCACCATTGTCACGTAGGCGGAAATGACTGGCCAGACCCAACCCTCATTCGCACCAATCCCATCACCCACGAGACATACCCGACACCGTTCTTCCAGTACGAGGTTTCAGACCTCCGGAATGCCCAAATTATTTGTGATGTCGCCTATATGGCGGAACTCGTTTTGAAGGTGAGTTTCCCGGCGAAATATTGTACACCGATTCTCAGAATTCATCAGGACATCTGGCCGACGGTATTGAAACGCTCCAAGTCAACGCAGATGCCCAATTGGGACCAAGAGTTCTTCGTCGAAATGGCGAAGAAGTCGTTTCGATCGCTGAAGAGAGGTTGGCTTCGCGAGCACAACTCCGAAACCGCGCTGAGAGCGCAGATCAATGCTCGAACCCATCGACGTAGTCAGCGGCGCGTTCACCCACGTCCTTGAACGTCTTTTCTGTTTTGTATGCCACATTCATTCTCGCCGCGTGACAGAAATCAGAACAACTGTTAAAGGTTCTGCTTCGGTTTGCGGAAGAATATCATATCGATCTTCAGTTCTTGAAGGATATCGTGCATCCTGAATACCTCTCGGACGAGATGTCTGGCCCCGAGGATGAAACACGAGAGGCGAAGGCGGCTTGGAAGGTTAGGTTGGCTGCCGAAATGGGTATTTCTCTTTCTCCAGACGTTTTGGAGCGGACCCAGATTCTCGAGGTCCTTTCCCCGCCGTGGCGCACTGATATCGTAGGGTGTTCGCCTCGTGATGGACCATTACTGAGAGTTTTTACAGTACCGCGATATTACGCCCCATACAACTTCGGTTTCTCGCAGGACTGGGTCAAACGGAACGCAACCAACTCCGAGATGCGTCGCATGCTGAAGGATTGGGGTAATCATTCGGAACCCGTTGATTTGACTCGGTTGTTGGCAGCGTCCCGTGACGGTGTAGAGAACCAGGGACAGTAGATAAGTTTTTGCGCTGTCGTTTCCTTTATAGAATCAGTTCATCGTGAAATATTATTCGAACTATACTGAGATTCCGGATTTGGCCAGGATAAAACATGGGCAAACAACCCTCTTATCGGTTCCTTATCAGTCCCAACTTGGCCATAGCGTCGATTATGGCTCGGCAAATAACAGTTATCGGAAAGAGCCCTGGCGCAACGTCGACATAGGCTGTGTCCACGGAGGAGGCAAACCTCTGCCTCCGCCTATACCAACCTGTGCATCCGCACCTTGGCAAACCCTCTGTCTCCGGGGGGGCGGAACGCAGTGAATGACAGCATCAATCTTGTTGTCCGTAGCCTTGTAAAATGGGCACTCATTGGCAATTTTGGTTGACTCTGCAAGCACAATCAGATCTGCGGGCTTGAGAAATGGTGCATCAGATGTGTAAATGGGTGCAGGCAATATATCTTGCCTGTCTGCTGAGGGCAGAAGTTCACCAAAGTAGGCACGACCGAGTGTCCAACCCCAATCTTTGTCAGTTGTGAATGCCAGATTCAGGATCACAGATGGAGGGGAATATGGCGGACCCACCTAATAAACCCAGTTTATGACACTAATTAGAGTGACCATGGCCCTGCATATGGCACCTCTAATTAGAAGCATTCCACGATGTACGTCTGTGCTGCAAAATATGCTGCGGATGGTTGGCAAATATGCTGCAACCAAGCCACCAATATGCTGCAGATATATCCCTGGGGGACTTGGGACAATCTCTGGCTGTGCATTATATAATCACACGGGTGCGCCTCCCGACGGCGGGCGGGGCGCCATCCCAAAAAGGAAATGTGCCCAAACAATTTGTAGAAAATACAGGAAAATACAGAAAAAATACAAAAGACATCTGTGCTAAGCATACGTAAACAAAAAATGGCCAGCACCCTACTGCACTCCAGGGCATCTTCCAGGAGGACCTCCAGCCGGGCCTTTCACGACATTGCGGCGCACCCCTGGCACCACAGTCATGGCACCCAAGGTCGGATGGGAGGGAGCAGCGGGAACTGATGCAAAAGAGCTCGCGGCAGCCCCTGAACCACCCGCCGCCTTGAAGGAGTCCGCGACAGCGCTTGGCGCACCCTTGTACATTGGCCTTGGCTTTGGCACAGCCTTTGTGGTCACTCTCGCCCTCGCCACCCGTGTTGGCCGTGCTTCTGGAGGGCTTTCGAGGTGACGTCCACCAGGGCTGGACCGTGTTGGGCTTGGGCTTCGCGACGGCCTTGCGCTTTTTCGCGGGTGGTGGTGGTGGGGTGTCCTCCTCGGGGCCATCTGCATGCGCTGTCTTGCGTTTGAGTGCCCTGGAGCTGCTCACGGACTTCTTCGCAGGTGGTCCCTTCACTAAGCAGGCGTGGACAACCCCGTACCATCGGGTATTTTGATCGAGCCCCCGACTGCACAGTTTTTTTTTGCTTTTTTCAGCCCTTTGTTTGGTCTCAAATCAACTATTTCTGTACCAAGGTCACCTCAAATCTCACAAAAGCAACAACAATTCATTGCAAGACAGGCAAAAAATAACACTACAAGAGCTGCTACGAGAATGGAAAAAAAGCCTACACAACTCGTAACGACAAGAAAAATAATACCACAGAAAATGGCGCCAGACTCAGCAGACACTAACAAAAACACCACACCTCGCCGACTACAATTGCTGCGACTTTCCCGAGATGTAGACCTTGACTTGGTCCATCCCCACCAGTCGCACCGCCTCCGTGGGTCCCATCTCTTCGACAGCCTGCATGGTGTTTCAGTACAGCATCTGAGTGCTCCTGTTGAAGAGCAGACACTCAGTGCGAGCCGCTGGTTGACAGGGACCTCGATGCTGTGGGTGAGCTGGAGGGGATTTTGAATATAGTCGAGCGGTGGACGACAACATCGGCAAGATGGGAGCAGACAGTGGAGGCCATCAAACGGCGGAAGTACAAGATTCATCGACGGCTTGAAACTGCTGATAGTTGAGCCGATATTCGAGCTCACAAAAATGAACCAGTCTCAGACCGGTAAGTGTGGAATAGAAGTTTATTGAAAGTACGCTGACACGTGTGGAACAGGATACAAAATGCGCAAGCACATCACCAAGGCCTTGCAAGCAAGATCCAAAGCGGTGCACAACACCATTGACCGCTACAATACGGCCGCAAGCGCCCTGGTCCCTCCCATGCCACAAATGTCCTGGGAGCAGGTTGTCGAATATGTGTTCTTGGCCAACTTCGACATCTTACGAGACACTGGA